CACTGTGAAGGCCCAGCTAGCCACTCTACAGCCCCAGCTAGCCACTCTATAGACCCAGCTAGCTACTAGCAAGGCCCAGCTAGCCACTGTGAAGGCCCAGCTAGCCACTCTCTAGGCCCAGCTAGCCACTCTATAGGCCCAGCTAGCCACTCTATAGGCCCAGCTAGCCACTTTATAGACCCAGCTAGCCACAGAGAAGGCCCAGCTAGCTATTTCTGTTGTCTTTGTGTCTGTGTAGAAAGCAGAAAGACAAGGGGGGAGCTGCCTGTACACCGCAAGGTGTCGAGCATCCAAACAACACATCTCTGTAGTGCCCTTTAATTTCATTTGCAGCAAAATTTTCTTCTCATTCGCTAGCTAGCTAGCTAGCTAGCTAGCTAGCTAGCCAGCCAGCTAGCTAGCCAGCTAGCTAGCTAGCTAGCTAGCTAGAGAGCCTAAAAAGCTAGCTAGCTAGCTAGCCGATGTGTACGTAGCTAGCTAGCTAGCTAGCTAGCTAGCTAGCTAACTGATACGTATCTAGCTAGCCAGCTAGCTAGCTGGCTAGCCAAAGGACTACCTAGCTAGCTAGCCTAGCTAGCTAGCTGAAGGACTACCTAGCTAGCTAGCTTAGCTAGCTAGGTTCGTTAACTAGCCTACATAGCTAGCTTCATAACTAGCCTGCTGGCTAGCTGGCTAGCTAGCTAGCTAGCTAGCTGGCTAGCTAGCTAGCTAGCTAGCTAGCTAGCTAAGCTGCTGCTCCTGCGGTGCACGAGGAGCAGCAAACGGATCCCGCGAGAAACGGTTGCTGTTTTGTTGCTGCCAGCAGTTGCTGCTGCAGCTGTTGTTGTTGCTGCTGCTGCTGCTGTTGCTCTTGCTGCTGCTGCTGCTGCTGCTGCTGCTGCTGCTGCTGCTGCAGCAACCCTCAGATCCCTACGGGGGCATCGCTTACTGACACTGGAGGAGCTGCTGCTGCAGCAGGAGTTGGTTGGTTTTGTTGCTGGTGTTCGTGCTGCTGCTGCTGCTGCTGCTGCTGCTGCTGCTGCAGGTCGTGTTGCTGCTTATCCTCTTGTGCTTCTGACCCTTGCGGGGTCTCTGTACACTGCAGCTGCTGCTGTTGCAGCAGCTCCTGCTGTTGCTGCTGCTGCTGCTGCTGCTGCTGCTGCTGTTGCTGTTGCTGCTGCTGCTGTTGCTGCTGCTCTGGCGCTGACGATGCAGGTTGCTGTTGCTGCTGCAGCACGGGAGGCTCTGGCTTCTGCATCTGCATCTGCTGCTGCTGCTGCTGCTGCTGCTGCTGCTGCTGCTGCTGCTGC